AATTCTTAAGTTGCAAGCAGGAAAAAAAGTCTATGAATTAGCAAATTCTGATAATGTTCCTCAATGCAAAGAAATTTTTGCAAAAGAATTGAATATTCCCAATGCAACTTATACGATGTTCCATAATATAGTAAATAAACTTAAAGGAACCACAAAAGGGGATAGAATTCAATCTTACAATTATTTCTCAACAATTTTTTCAATCATAAACAAAATCGAACAAGGATTCTGCGAAATGATTTTAGTTAAAGAAGTTAACAATGAAATTGAATTGCATACATTTAAGAAAGGTGATGAATTACCTGAAAATTCAAAAGACTTTCAAATTTATTCATTTATTGTAGTGATGCGAAAAATTCCCAAACATATGGGGTTTCTCATATCCCGTCCCCTATCGTTTCCCCAATTCAATTTTTTTTGGAATTTTATTTTTTTTCCCGCCCATTTGAATTAAAAATGGGCGATTTTCGTTAATGTGATTGAAATATCATAAAATTAATACGTATTTTAGCTAATAATTCTATTTTTATACAATATTCTCTCATTAAATCAACATTTTTTTCTAATTTTAATTTTTAATTTTTAATTTCTTCATAATTTTAGCGATTTATGCTCATTATTAGCAAATAAATAATATATATAATATACTTATTTCATTTTATTCAGATAGGTCTTTGGGATTGGGATACCTTGTCCAAATTCAGAGGAAGTTTGAGAGGTTGGGATGGGGTAGCCCATATTCAATTATCCCAAGTGTACTCCACGAATTTAAAATTATATTATATTATTGATGACATATCTAAATTTATAGATAAAAATTTCAATGCGTACACAATTTTTTTTGAGAAAATTCTTTTTTTTTACTTATTTTCATTCATAAAAGCTCACGTGAACTTAATTAACAACTGAGACATTTCCTATGAAATCATTTAATGCCGTCAAAATAGACATGTCTAAGCTGTTTTGAGTGACTTTCGCTCGATGTCTGATGCAATATCAGACATCGAGCGAAAGTCTCTCATATTGGCAACACATCCATACGATCAATACTATAGCTACGAATTACAAGCCTGTTTGGGCAATTTTTGGCCGAGTTCTGATTTTTCATTAGATCTCGAGCGAAAGTCTCTCAAATTGGCTGCCAGTTCATAAGAGTGAAACTCTAGCTACGAATTAGAAGCTTGCTTGAGAGACTCTCGCTCGCGTTGGGATCTGCATCAGAACTCGAGCGAAAGCCTCTCAAAGTGGTAAGACCTGCTCATTGTTGAGCAGGAGCTGCGTAATGTGTTCGAGCAGAGTGAGGCTCTTCTAAGATCTTCCTTGTGATTGGAAGAAATTAGAAGAGTCTCACTCTACTATTTTGTAATTGTATGCCCCGGCCTTTGAGTGACCAGGGCTGCGTAATGTGTTCGAGTAGAGTGAGGCTCTTCTAAGATCTTCCTTGTGATTGGAAGAAATTAGAAGAGTCTCACTCTACTATTTTGTAATTGTATGCCCTGGCCTTTGAGTGACCAGGGCTGCGTAATGAATTCGAGTAGGATTGTACAATAGCTCGGCAAACGCCGAGCAAATTGATATAAACGTACATCCCACAAAAAATGGATTGTCAAAATTTATCCCAAATTTTACAAAACCGCAGCGGTTATGACATCCCAGGGCTAAAAAAATTCGGAAACTCGCATCTCTATTTATTGTAATTCCTCCAATAACTCATTTTTACATGCAAACACAAGCTTTTTGCGGAATAATTCAAATTGATGGAACGTTTTTATTTTGTATTAAAAAAGGAAACTTACTCATTATTGGTACACCTGCACCAAATAATAGACTTATCCCTATTGCATTTGCATGGTCTGTTAGTGAAAATACGATAACAATTAAGGATATGCTCACTAAATTGAAATCTTTTATTCCACCAAGCAGATTCAAGAATATTTATTCCGATCAAGGTCCGGCAATTATAGCTGCTGTTAGAGAATCAGGCTTTTCTTGCGATCATAAATTTTGCTTACGTCATTTTGCAACAAAAAGGGAATACATCAATGTCTATTCCGAAATTGTTGAAGTCGCTTACGCAGACCATCCTCAAAAACGAATTGACTTGATTAAAAAGTTAGAAACTCGTTTACAAGAGGAATATCCAAACCGCGAAAATAATCAGGATCTCTTTAAGTACTTAGATAGTATTAACCCATTTGAAGGATTCGCTGACTACACCGCTGGCATACTCACAACATCTCTTATTGAATCCCTTAATGCCGAAATTAAAGATAAATGGGATACATATGAACCCGCCGAACTAATTATCCGTCTCATTGAACATGAATTCAATCTTGTTAAAAATGTTTTAACAGGTGATTTTAAATCAGATAATATTATCAAAAATCTAAATGAAACTTTGAAACATTCAGATATGTTTAGCTCGGTATTATATGATCCAATTCAAGAATTATATTATGCAACTTTTGGTCGCTATACATATTGCGTAAAAATTATGTCAGATTCACAATATTCATGCACATGTAAGCACATCGAATTATACGGATTACCTTGTATTCATGTAATCGCCGTATTGAATCACTTTTCGAACAAAAATCTTCTTAAAAATTTGAATGATGCAGTTCATGCTCGCTTCAAATGTTCAGAGTTTATGACTCCTGTGGAAGATTTAATGAAATTTTATGTTGACCAAGCATCTTTAAAAATTCCCGGAATAAATTTCAACCTGGGAGAGATTGAAAAATTAAGGGGAAAAAGGACTAGGATTAAAGCATTTTACGAAAAGTGATGCTGTGTTGTTAGTTATTTATTTACTTTTTTTAATATTTTTTAAAAAAATAAAAGAAAATTCAAATAATTTTGTATCTCCCATGATATATCGACCCACGAGTACTAATGTGGCTATAATTAGAGATTGCAACTCTATTATGATCATAGTCCGGTGATATACAATAAGATTCAAATTTTGAAAGAATTAAATTAATAAAATCCCGGTGAAAAAAATAAAAACAGCTTCTAAAAGTATAGTTATCTTAAAATACGAACTTTAACACAAGTTTTTTGATCCAATAGAAAATTGAATTCTTTGAATAAATAAAATATTTTATGTATTAACATATTAAATTTCCTAATTATTTTTTCTTCTTGGGAAAATTTTTGAATTCGAATAGAAAATTCAATAAATTGAAATTGGGTTGAAAGAATTCTCCATATTAACTTGTCATATATTTCAGATCATATAAATTAAGTTAATTAAATTTTTTAAAAACCTTAATAGGATAAAAAAAAGAATTTACACTCTCTCACTTTGAAAACGTAGAAAATGCCAATCTATTGGTATACATTTTAGTTTTGTTAAGTTTACAAAACGATTACTCTAGATTTTAAAGAGGGGGGCACAAACTTGCCCAGTGAGGTGAAGTGAAAAGTGATAGGTTTACATGTCAGAAATGTAAAGTGTCATATTTGAAACAAAGAATGGATTAATTTATTATTATATGACAGAGAGATTTGGTAAGTTACTATCAAATTTGTAAGTAAGGGAAAAAAAGTAAGAAAGAAAAAATTTTTAAAAAATAAAAAGCCATTCGCTTCGCTCGCGGTTGACAAAAAGAACAAATTCGAAAAATAATTGTATGAAATTACGAAACTAAGCGCAGCGCTCGCGGCTTAAGAAAAGAACAGATTCGAAAAAAGATTGTATGAAATTACGAAACTAAGCCACTCGCTTCGCTCGCGGCTTAAGTAAACACATATTTCAGATTATCGATACTAAATTTTTTTATTTTATTACATTTTTTTAAAGCTTCTTAACTTAAATCATGGAATGTCTCAAAGACAAAAGTAGCATACAGCATGTAAAGCTAAAGAAAGATAATCATAATTAATACCTTAATTTTTAATATTACGCATTTTTAGGTGCAAAATTTAAAAACATTCTAATACAATAGAGCAGTTTCCAAAAGTAGCATACAGCATGCAAAGCTAAAGAAAGATAATCATAATTAATACCTTTAAAGTTTAAAATCTTGATTTTTTTTAAAATCAAATATTTATAACTTTAATACATACAGCTTAAACCTTATACTTGTTTTCTCTTGTGAGAAAGCAATCTTACAAAGCTAACAATCCTAAAAAATAAAGAATTAAAATTTAATAATTTAATCTAAAATTAAAATCAAAATTAAATAAAATGAGTTCTTTGTAATAATACTTTCAAGGTAGGATATATTTTAGTGGGATCTATTGAGTCATCACTAACAGCATTGAGCAATCTATTGAGCATTGAAATACTCTCGATTTTTCTTTGTCTTTTTACATCAATTTCTGCGTTAGTTGCTTTTTCCATGATCCTAATGACACGGTCATCTGCTGGATTTTGATCAATTTTGAGTTTGATAACGAAAGATGGTATCACTTTTGTATAAATTTCTATAATAACATCATCAATTCTGAGATTTTTTCGATCAGGAAAATAGTCATGTTTGAGTGTTCTAAAATGAGCTTCGGCAATATTGTTAGTTGCGTCGCCTTCACGCCTGTCACGAGCAATCCATCTTGATATGTTGTAACGCCATTGTCTGTTAAAGTATTGAGATGCTGTTGGATCTGTGTCGAGCAACTCCAGAACTTGATCATAGGCAGCATTTGCTTCTTCCTCATGTTCTGCATCTAATTTGAAGACTAAATCCTTCATCAAATTATAGAATTGTTCAAATTTTTCTTGAGAAGAAAACTTATTTGATTTGCGAAGAATTGCACGAAGAACATGTACTCCGCACCAAAGTATTTGAGCTTGTGGAATGCTTTCTTCTATTGCTTGAGCTATCTGTGGAGCACAGTCCATGCTAATGTATTCTGGCTCAATTGTTACCCATCTGAGATAGGCGCACACGCAAACTTGAATGTTTTGATAAGTGTCTGGTTGACAAAAGAAATATAAAAAAGGGAAAATGTGAAAATCTTTGATTTTGCCAGTAAATGCATACAATGGAATGTTTGATCGCAACAATTTATAGGTGCTGTCTATATGAAATGTCTTGATACTATGCGCATAAGCTTTGCCTTCAAAAGGCGCGTAATAGAAACACATATTATTGTCTGAGACTTCAAATGCAATGAGATCATCTGGAGATTCTTCTTGTACTGTCTGAACAAAGATTTGCAATGACACAACATCGTCAGGAGAATATCTAGTTTGAAGAGCATGTATTCTCTCTGCAAATCGTTTGATTGCACGTGGTTTTTGAGCGTACATCTCTGGAATGGACGGACCTGTAAGAGGAATTTCAAGATCTTTGAATGCATTTAGCTGTGCTATCGCTCTTTGATTGTCATCTGTTTGGAAGTAATGTTCTAAATATTTGCGATAAAAGACAGACGAATATTGACTTTTGTCATTTGGGGCGGAATGATCATGTTCTTCAACTATTTTGATTAGTTTGTATTTATTTTGATCCAAGATTGCAACATTAAAATGTGCAGGACATTTTGGATATTTGCAGTGGAATGAAATCTGAGATCTTTCTTTCCTGACACGTTCACCATATCCATACTGTGCTTGTATTTCTTGTTTAACTCCAAATTTACAAAGATCCATAACAGTAAAGATAGTTTCTTCTTCTAATTCCATTTGAAATTGAAATGAAAATTAAAAATTCAGAAATTTGAATAGATTTGGTCTGTAATTAAATGAGAATAGCAGTTTGTTCGTCATTGTTTGAGGCAAGAGTATTATAGGAATATTATATGATGGATTTGAGTTGCATATAAAGAGTGCAAAAGGATAAAGAGAGAAATTTTGTTAGTTAATTAAATTATTAAATTTTAATTCTTTATTTTTTAGGATTGTTAGCTTTGTAAGATTGCTTTCTCACAAGAGAAAACAAGTATAAGGTTTAAGCTGTATGTATTAAAGTTATAAATATTTGATTTTAAAAAAAATCAAGATTTTAAACTTTAAAGGTATTAATTATGATTATCTTTCTTTAGCTTTGCATGCTGTATGCTACTTTTGGAAACTGCTCTATTGTATTAGAATGTTTTTAAATTTTGCACCTAAAAATGCGTAATATTAAAAATTAAGGTATTAATTATGATTATCTTTCTTTAGCTTTGCATGCTGTATGCTACTTTTGGAAACTGCTCTATTGTATTAGAATGTTTTTAAATTTTGCACCTAAAAATGCGTAATATTAAAAATTAAGGTATTAATTATGATTATCTTTCTTTAGCTTTACATGCTGTATGCTACTTTTGTCTTTGAGACATTCCATGATTTAAGTTAAGAAGCTTTAAAAAAATGCAAAAAAATTGAATACTTTACTGGCTGGGCAAATTTGTCGCCGCCCCGATTTTAAAGATTTATCAAGAATTTAGAGAATATCCTTCTCAAAACAACTTTAATAGCGAAGGATTAGTATTGAATCGGATTTGTAACATAATTATAGTACATTACAATACAATTTCTCCGACTTTTAAATATTTTTGAAATATTTACAAAATATGCTCTTTCTATCATCGATACTTTAATACAGAGCAAATTTAGTAAATGTCATCACGTTATTTTTTCATAAATCGTTTTCGAACTTTTGAAATATTTATTTTAAACCAGTTTTCTACATTTAATATGTGAATTATATCAAAAGTAGATGGGCGATACTTGTAAATCTATTTAAACTATTAGTTTGCTATTATTGAAGAACTTTATAATTTTTTTTCTTATGTATGGAATTAAAGATAATTTTGCCGATTCCAACTGGTTTTTCTATATGAGTTAAATATGCCAAGTGAAATTGGACTTGCCAATATTGTAAATTGAAGTATGGACTATATATCGATTTTCATTGATTGATGAATAACTCGGAGTAATGTAATTGTTGATAATGAAAAATAGTTTTCAATTGCTGGTAAGGGCCAATGTATGTTCAATAGCTCCGAAAGCAAAAAATGCACGTTTAAAAAAAGACGATAACGATTAAATTACAAAATCGATAACGACGACGATTAAATTACAAAATCAATAATGACCCATCATTGATAGCCTGATCCAACTTTTTAATTATTTTGATATTTATGCTCCGAATCTACATGTTATATACAGTATTGTTACAATATTCAGATTCTTTCAACTTCTTGGTGGAGCTTTCATGGCAGCAAATTTAGATTCTTTCATTCCTGGAACTTTGACCTATAATGCAATGTCAATTATTACAGTCTTCTTCCATCTTGTTCCATTGCAATATAGACGTGGCAGTGGACATTGGATTTTGCTAGCGGTCAACGGTTTACTCTTAATATTTTTAATTTACATTATAATTACGGCTTTTATTTACAAGAAGACTTCTAAAGTACCCAAAGCTTCAACATATATTCTGAGCATTTTCATGGCTATAGGACCATACTTATTAGTTCCAATATCTGCTCAGTATGCCGGTCAAATGATTTCTGGAAATATCTCAGGTACATTGGATGTAAATGCAGGAAATGTAATAGCGTATGTTTCTTCATTTATTGCAATTGCACTCTGGGCGTGGATTATTATAAGAGCCTATTCTATTGCACTTGTTTTTAGACCATGCTCCTTTGCTTCTGTTGAAGGTTCCCCACAAGCAAAGCTGCTTATTACAACAACTGTAGTAACATTTGCTTCTGCGCTTACAACAAACTTAACAACATATCCATCAGCTGCAATGATGTTTGTCTCAATTGTTCTTTACTTGTACTGCATATCAACATGCTTCAACTGCTCTTCATTCATCAAAAGATCTCATACAATTTTGGTTCTTGGTGGTTGTGTTCTGAGTATTTTGTTATGCATAGGTAACCTTTATACAATATTTGCCAGGTCACCATGGACTGAAGTTTTCTTTATTCTATTTCTTGCCGCAGCAATTGTTTCATTCGTTTCAACTTTCTTCTATGTTAAAACAAGAATGGTCAGAGAGTTAAAAATATTGGACGAAATTGACGAAACTCAAGATATTTCTTTCCTCAAAAGAGAAACAAAATTTAAACAGCTATTATCAACTGGATTCCTTTACGCACATCCTGTATGCACGAGTTTTAGAATTTTCAAACTTGCAGTTGCTCAATGGCCTGACGCCCTTGATGTTTGGGCAATTTATGCAAAATTCTTAGCGATTTATCCAGAACAAACATTAACATTAGCTTTTGTTGCTCAAACAGTTTCAACAATGAATACAAAGAATAAGGCATTACAATCAATAATTTTAACAACTTCTGGCTATGTCATCAAGACAAGAGAAACAAAGTTTACACAACAGTTAAAGGTGAAAATCTCAAAGCTTGCCAAGTTATTCAATAAAACAAAATCAAGACTGAGGAACATTTGGGATTTAACGCTCCAAGGTAATATCAATGAAATGAACATAGCTATTAGAAGTACAAAATTATCTGTTAATGAATGCGAAGTAGAAATGAATCACTTATTAATGCAATATCCAAATAACAGATTTGTTGCAAGACAAAATACTTTATTCCTCAGTGAAATCAAAGGCGATCCAATTGCAGCTAAAGCTTCATTAGAAAACTTAACAAAACTACAGAGAGGATTACAAATATCTGAAGATACAATTCATCAGTTAGGTATAGATTCATTTCCTCATATTCCAGAAACATGCACTGAAATTGATGGTCAAACAAAGACTATTGCAGAAGCAGAATCAATGGGAGTTGATGAATTATTAGTGGATGATAATATTAATTCCAATAACATGGAAGCAATGCAATCAATTGCAAAACAAATCGATAACCATATTATACCAGCTATTTCCTACATTTACAAATCTACACTGATTGCTTATATTTTCCTCATTTTAATACCAATGATTGTCATGATTGTTGCTTTCCACTTTTTTGCTATTGAAATTGAAAAGCCACTTGATTTCATGCAAGGCATTGCAAGAACAAGAAGTATTGTATCAATGCTAACAGGATTCACAGGAAGATATTTATTCCAAATGCTAGACGATCCAAAGAATACTTCAAGGAAAATCGAATCACCTATTGATTTTCCTTGAATTGGTGGAACAGCAGAATCAGTCCAAGTTTTGCGTTACATTGCATCATGTGTCACATCTACAAATAAAGCTATGGCAGAAGTTCGATCATATAAACCAGGTAACTCATATATTGAAAAAGTTAGAGATTTATTGTTTACTGATACAATTAACTTTTCCTATTATATAAACAACACCTATGCAGATTCATCAATGACAACAGTAGCAGATGTTTCATATATGGTTGCAAATCATGTAGGAAAATTGTGTGATTTGACAGAGATTACTCCAGAAGTTGCAAGCGGACCAGACTCTTTGACTTCAAGAAATAACAATCAATTATCATTAGTAGCAATGAACAATGCTTTACTAACAATGATTGAATATTTGAAATTTATTAATACAACAAATCAAAGAATCTTTCTTGTTGTAATCATTGTCTTGATTATAGTCAATATTATCAGCTATTTTCTAATCTATTACTTGCAATTCTCAAGGTTGCAAATAAACAGAAATCAAATTTTGCTCACATTGACAACTTTACCCAAAACTGTTATTTCATCTGTTTCTGCAAGTCTTAACAAACTCAAAGATGGACATGAAAGAACATCTTCAATGATGGACTCATCAGCTGATGAAGAAACTAATAGACAAGAAGATAGTATCATTAAATTATTTGCATCAGTATCTGACGGATCTGCAAATACATCAGTTGAAGTTTCAAACTTCTTGTGCTTCTTAGTTGTAATTGTTTTAGGTTGCATTATGTATTATGTTTCAATGAATGCTTATAGAAAAGGAATGAAGAATCTCCTTTATAATTCACATCATATTAATTATTTATATGGTTCAGTTTCATACATTTATTCCGTAATGGCAAGCATTTTCAAAATTGCTTTAGCCAAATATGATGATGTTTTTGCAAACTCAATAATTTCTCTTGATGATGAAATCCAAAATATTGGAGATAGAATTCCGTTTCTTGTCTCTTACTTTCAAATGATTAGATTAGGTGGAAGTGATGTTAGAGAAGTTCCATTCCCTGAAATGGAAAAGTACATCAATATTGCATCAAATGAATTAACATGCACCAATATAACACATCCTCCATCTACCATTCTTGATAGCACACATTGTTTATCAGCTGCTCAACAACTATATGTTGCCACTACATATATGAATAAGTACTACGGATTAATGAAAAAAGACAATCCAATTTACCATGATCCAACATCAACAACATTTATGCAATTATGGCAAATTGGCCCCGTTGAACTTTATATTACTTTCTTTAATCCAGCAGAAAATGAAATCATTCCGATTATTACAAATAATATTGATACCCAAGGCACCAAACAAATTATTTATTCAGTTATTATCGTTGTTATTACATTTCTTTTCTCAATAAGAATTATTATTGGTGCAAAGAATGAGAATGATTTATTGAAGTTCACTGTCAAGTTGTTCATGAGATGTCCTCCAACAACAGTGTTAAATAATAGCAGAATTATGGAGTTGCTCGCAGGAAATTACAATAGTATGGTTGATGAACAGTCAGACAAACACCTTTGGTTCACAAATGAAGTTGTCAACAAGCTTAATGATGTTGTCATTGTTTGTCAGGAAGAAACTGGAAAGATCATCACAGTCAATTCCGCATTCGAAGAATTGTTCGGAATCAAGCAATCAGAAATCGAGAACACAAGTGTCAAAGACTTCTTTGTTGAGTCACGATTCAGCTGTAGTGAGAGTCTTGATAAGATCTTCACTAACACACTTAACGTCATCTTCAAGAAGTCAGATAGCGATAAAGTCTATCTTGAGTTTTCATCAACAAGTGTCAGTGGTCGTAAGATCTTCTCAGGCAGAGACCAGACACAGAACGTCATGCACGAGAAGCTTATTGCTGACGAGAAGAAGAAGTCCGACAGCATGCTTGCATCTATCCTTCCACCAATGCTTGTTCCACGTGTTCAAGCAGGCGAGAAGAACATCTCATTCAGTGTTCAATCAGCAACAGTCCTCTTCTTAGATGTTGTTGAGTTCACACCATGGTGTGGCAGCCACGATGCACAGTATGTCATGCGTATGTTGAACATCATGTTCAAAGAGTTCGATGCTATCACAAATGCACACAAGACAATGACAAAGATCAAGTGCATTGGTGACTGCCACATGGCAGCTGGTGGCATCTTCGATGAAGTTAACCAACCAGCCGTTCATGCGAAAGAAGTTGTTGACTTCGGCACATTAGTCATCAAGAAACTTCTTGACATCGATGAGAGTGAGAACGAGAAACTTCGTATCCGTGTTGGTATCAACACCGGTGGTCATATTGTTGCTGGTGTTATTGGCACAGAGAAACCAACATTTGAAATCCTTGGTCCAGCTATCAACATCGCACACGAGATGGAGAACAAAGGTGTTCCAATGAAAGTTCACATTTCACGTCCAGTCTATGAACTTATCTATGGTCAACAGTTCGACATCAAAGAACGTGGTGAAATCGACGTCAAAGGCGGCAAGATGTTCACATATCTTGTCGAACCATAACTTTATTTTTATCTTTTATTTCTTTTATATGTTTGTAAATTTGTTTTTATGAAATACTTGACTTTTTAAATATTACCTTCTATCTGAGTATACGTAGAATAGAAACAAGCAATTTCTCATGTAATTAGTTGAATTCCGAGTTTTGGAATTGAAATTTTCTGATTCTTGAAAATTCTTCTATTTTATTTAATTCTCAAACTTACATTTACGAAAAGTTGATTGAATACATGCAAATTCAGAGCAAATACCAAAATTGACACTTTCGAATCTGTGAAAATTATATATAACATTAAAATAGTAGAAATTAGCATTTATTCTCTTTTACTTAAATGTATCTCCTAGAAATTGCTTAATTATGCGTGATTATAATTGAATGAAAAAATATGAGGTAAATATAAAAAATTAGACATTGTACACATCTTATGCCATTGTTCTATTTGAAACAATGAAATAAATCAAAATGAATCAAATAACAATCATTTATTATTGTTTCCTAATTTCTCAGAATTTTGTAAAAAATTTGATGAGAAAAACGGAATAATAAATAAATACAGTTTATTTATATGATTAAGTATAATTAATATTAAAATACTTGTAATAATTACCAAACCAAGTGAAATATCAAATACAAGCGCCCAAAAGCGAGATCAGAAATGAATTAAAAAAAGTATGTCATAAAAATGATTTACCATAGTATTTATCAACAACACGTATGCTGAAATATTTTAACATCAAAATTTCATGAAATTATCGTGTCGAAGGTTCAACTATTGAAAATTATTTTTATCGGATGTGATATCTTCAAAATATCGAATATAAGACGATTAAACAAAATTGCTTTTCATGTAAAATTGAGTACATACTGTTTTCTAATTTTGATAGGATATCAATCAATTTTCTTGACAGTAATAGAAAAGAGTTTCATCAGTAATTACTCAAGGAATAAATATTTTACAAAAAAAGGCAAGGGTGTAAAATTTATAATCAATTGAATTTTTATTTCGTATTTCATCGATCATATGTAAGATATATTCCATAATTATTTAATTTTTCTTATTTCAGAAAAAAAATTGTGAGCACAAAACACACGTATTAATTAATAATGAATACAGGACAACAGTTCATTATTATTATAGAACTTACTTTCATATTCTGAAAGTGTCAATAAATTCATATGAAATTTATTTTAACCATTAATATTTGCTTACATTCTATTATCATGTATTTCATTCACAATAATAACGACGATATGGGGAGATATTCTATCAAATGTTGTTCGTTTTTTTTTCAATGGATCTTTTGAAAGATTATTCAATTGGGAATTTATTTTTCTGAAGCATTACTGATACAAAGTAATGTATTAACGGAGTATAATAAAAATTACTACATAAGTTATCTGCACGTAAAGATTTGAGTGTTTCTGAAAAATTCGTCAAAATAGTATTTATTTTTTTCCATGGATACATTTGTCCCCCAGTTACTTACTAGCCAAGGCTATGATATGAAGTACGAAATCGGACATGGAACATTCTCCCATTGCTATGTATGCCATAACCAAAAATATGGCATTCCGTTTGTTTGCAAAAAGTCTTTGAAATGACATTTCATCAGGAATATCTTGTATTATCAAAAATGATGCATCCCAACATCATTAACATTTATGACTACTTCAATGAAAAAAATTATTATGTACTTGTTCTCAAATTCTGCGAAAATGGAAGTCTTGAAGATTATTTGATACAAAATGAAAACATCCCAGAGTCAAAGCTTATGGAATGGGCCAAACAGATTTTAGGCGCCCTTAGCTACATGCACCAGAACAATGCTAGTCACCATGACATCAAGCCATCAAATATATTGATCGACTCATTTGGAAGAATTAAACTAGCTGATTTCGGAATCGCCCAATTTCTCCAGAAGAACGAAAAATCAATGATATACGGAGGCTCCGTTGCATTCATAGCCCCAGAACAATTCCTGAAAGTCCCATATGATTCATTCAAGGCAGACGCTTGGTCATTCGGAGTCACATTATACATGTTAAGATTCCACGGCAGACTCCCATTCTTCGGAAACAACATGATGGAGATACATAGCCTCATGTCCAAGGGATTCTTCGAAATACCTGACCACTGCTCATATGAATTTAGACAGATTTTTAACCATGCACTTGATCCAAATGTCGAAACAAGATGGTCGGTTTCCCAGTTACTAGACTATGTATGCAAGACTTCAAGTGGTGTTACAAAACACTGCGTTCCAAACCGTTCAAGATCTCTAATCAACGGTAGATCTTCATCTCTTCCAAGATATGAAGGACATCTTAATATGATGCCAAGCATTATTGTTCCTAGTATTCCAAGAAAGATTCCAAGATTATTATCTAATTAAGTTTATTTGTTATTTTTATAATTCGGTTTTGATTGTTTTTAAACCTTTTCATGTAGTTGTATCATGCTATTTAATTAATTATGCTTTTTAATTAATTTATTGAAAATAATCGGCGAATTCGCATTTAAAATTTGCAGATTTTAGTAGTTTAATAGAAGATTATTCATACAGTATGTACTGCTCTCATAATAACTCATTAATTTGAGAAATTAAAGTATTCAAAATATACGAAATGCAATTTTTACCAGCATACGACAGATATATAACCAATTCAATCTTGGAAAGCTATCTTTGTGTCTAACGCAAAAATTAATCAGGTATGAAAGACTATAGTGATATAATTTAGAAATCTTGGTAAAAAAAATTCATGGAAAAATAAAATTTACATTAAACATTAACATGGTAATGCATTAAATAATTAAAAGCTTGATACATGCCTAATTCTTGTGTGTGTTTTTGATTTCATCAAAGGTGTTGTAAACATAGCCGATGAAATCGGCCTTATTAGCTTTTTCCTTCCAGTTTCAATCTTTTCGCGGAGCATATTAACAAGATCTTCTGCAGATGGTCTTTTTGTAGGATCTATCTGGAGACAAAGAGAAACAATCCTTCGTAGGAGCAAATCATTGATTTGGAATTCGTCGAAAATAGCATTCTGGATTGATTTAATCATTGCATCTTTGGAATATAAATTCCAAGGACATTGACCTGTAATTAAAATAAAATACGATACAAAGACCAAATGTCAGCTGCAAATCCATCAAATGGTTCTGTCTAATGATCTCTGGAGATTCATATATGAATGTTCCGCTAAAATTTGTATTATTTTCATCGCGATTGAGCTTTTGGGAAAACCCGAAGTCACAAATTTTAACTCTTCCATATTTATCTATAAGGAAGTTTGATGGCTTTACATCTCCATGACGAATACCAAATTCATGGCAGCTTTGTAAGGATTGAGCCATTCCAATTGCATATCGATATAATTCTTCGTTTGTGAGGACCCATCTTTCAAGAAATATTTTATCAATTGAGCTTGGACAATATTCCATTAATAAATATACAAAATCTTTATTCCTCAGATACTTATACAATGGAACAATGTTGCTAGATCTAATTTCTATCATGCACGCAATTTCGTTATCATTGAATTTATTTGCGGGAATTTTTTTAACTGCAAAATTTTGTTTGTAGTATTCAGAATAGACCTTATAAACAGTCCCATAGCCGCCTTTTGCAATTGTTTCATTGAATATTAATCCGAAGCTCTCGAATACCACCCCTAAATCATCCATGATTTTAAAATCAAATAAAGCAAAGAAAATATTTGAAAACATTTAATTTTTTGTTGAATAAAAAATATCGTAAATATAAATAGATATTGAGATTGACAATCCAATAAATTAATCAATTGAATTCTATAGAAATAATTTTTCAATAATTGATATATATTCAGAAAAAAAGTTGTTATGAAGATAAATGATTCCATAATTTACTAATATGCAATGATTGCTAAATGTAAATATTAATTATTAAATGTAAATATTAATTATTAAATGTAAATATTCATTGAAAAATAAATATTAAATCATGTTTTATCATGAAACGCAGATACCAGCATAACTTTGAATATATAAAAGAATTGAAATAAACGTGCTAGAAAATAAAACATAATATAAAAATGAATTTAGTATAATCAAATTTCATTAAATCAATTTATGTTCTGAAAAGTATTTAATATTATACATTGTTTAATTATAGACAACATTACATGCTAAAGCCATTATTCCTTTACAATAGAGCAATTGAAAAGTAATACTTTCATTTCAAAAATTTTACATCCACATTGAAATCTATTACCCAGATTTGCTTTACTTTTACCACTCCCCATGTAATTTCTGGGGAAAACGATAATTCATTTTTTTTATGGATGAATAGATCGTTTTCCTAGAAAGGACCTCATATCTCTGGCTAAAAAGAGTGTCAGATCCTAAATAGATTATTGATCTAGTGTACAAATCCAATAAAAAGCCTATTTTTTTTGGCTTTTTTGGTGCTCATTTTTTCGAAGATCTACATGAATATGGGGAAACCATCGGATTTTTTTGGTTAACCCACATCTTCATGTAGTCTGGACTATCTTTCCTCGAAGGACCTCTTTACGGGTGTAAAAACTCATAAAGTTCTCAAAAGATTCATTCTCTATCTCCATGCTGAAAGAATTTACAATAAAAAAGAGATCTACGCATCAAACTACAGCCATAAATGAACTGAACCCCTAAAGCTCAGCTCTTAGTTTATCAAAAACGTCGAAATCCTTCTCATTGCAATCAAATTTTCTCAATAACTCATAAGAAAAATCGAATTTTGATTAGCCGATGTTATAGGTATCACAAATACTACAAACTTGAGCAATATCGAAATTGCCAGCAAAAGTTTGAAATTGCATTGCTCATATTTGTTTTGTAAACTAAAAATCTGCTTATATTATTCATTAATTTTTTATATATTATTATATACTTTAATAAAACAATACTATTTCACCTTAAAAATGAATTTATAAGTCAATATTATTTTTTGAAAATGTATCAATTTCGATTAAAAAACAT